CCAGCCCATTCTCCACAGGTATCAAACTCGTCCTTTAATAATCAGGTTGCAGTCACCACATCAGTGGAGCCCTTCGAACCTGGCCTGCTGTAGGGGCAGCTGGCTGTGTCTTAGGTGTCACCGGCCAAGGCCCACGAGCCCCCTCAGGTGCTTTGCCCAGGGGCCGGGGGGAGGCAGAGGATGTCGGATGATCTGATTGACAGCGGCTTCAGGACGAGGCCTCAGGAAGGCACATGGGAGGGCAGGTCCGGTGCCAGCCGGCTCTCCAGGAGGCCAGCCCATGGCAGGCAGGGCCGGCAGGCTGGCACGGCAGACTTGCGGGTGACCCAAACAAGAATCCAAGCTGATGTCCGAGAGACTGGTTCCAGCAGGACTTGCTTAAAGCTTATTCTATGCTAAGGACTAAGTTTAGTGTTTTAAAAATTCTGATAGCCCTAAATCATGGACAGCTGCTGTTCTAAAGGATGTTAGAGAGCATCTAATTTGATGCCCCCTGCTTTTCAGATGAGAAAACGGAGGCCTAGAGAAATTAAGTGACATGGTCAAAATTGCCCAGTTAGGTGTGGTGGCAGAGGTGCCACTTCTGTGTCATAGGATGGTATAAAAGGTGTGAGGGACGGACACCCCAGGCCGCCTTTTTCTACTGAGCACGTGTAGCCATAACCTTTGTTTCCTTGGGAAAAGGTCCCCTCTTAGCAGGATAACGGCCAGTTTCCCTCACCCTTGCCGGGCAGAGCCTGCAGGGGGATCTACCGAAGCTTTTTCTTTCTAGCCCTTTCCCTGCCCTAAAAAATGGCAGTCCAGGTCTGCAGATGGGACTTACTAAAAGTCAGAGAGCTCTGGCTGTGAGGAGAGGGAGAAACTCTTGGACTGGAACCTGAAAACCTTTCTGTAAACCTCTTGCCCCTTCTGCGACAGTCACTATGCTCCGGTGGCCCCCTGGCTGCACAGGTGGGAGCTCTGGGACAGACGCTCTGATGCAAATGCTGCAGGGCCCTGAAGCCTTGGGGTTTGGGGGACGGGGGAAGAAGAGCTTTGCAGCTGTCCCTCAGCAAAGCGATGAGCAGTGCCTGGGGGCACTCAGAGATCCCAGGCAAAGGACAAGCGGATCTGTTTGGATTGTTCTCCAAAACCCCTGCTACTTAGAAGTGGGATTCCTGGCCCAGGAGCAGGCCCCGGAGCTTGTTGGAAATGCAGACTCTCGGGCCCCACCCAGACCTACCGAGTCAGCACCTGCGCTTTAACAAGATCCCCAGGTGATTCCTGTGCAAGGTGCAATTGGAGCAGCCCTTGGGCTGGCTTCCGCTTTCCACCTCCCTACGTTGCTGGACCGAGGATGTGTTCTCCAGCAACCTCGCCCACCTAAAATGCAGCCAGCAAGCAATGAAGTCCTTCTGGCTCCCCCCAAACCTTCAAAGAGACGAATTAGTAACCAGAAGGTGATGCGATAAAGCTCTTTGCTTTATAGGACAAACGCTCGCTTGGGCTTTTCAAGAAAGGAGATAGCGATCATACTCAAAAAGCAATGTATCTTTTGCTTAGTGGCTGCGACACCCCGAAGGCCCCCAAGGCATTGCTGCTATAAGGTGGTCTGGTATCTGAGGATACTACTGAGATGGCCCTGAGTGATTTGACAAAAACTTTATATTCACGATTCCCAGATTCTTAAAGGACGGTTGGGCAATGTTTTATAGATATTCTTATAAAAATGTTAATAAAAAAGTTCTAGCATAGAAAAGTCTTCCAGAAAGTTAATTTGTACGCAATAGTGTTTCCTTCCCCCATGATAGCAGATCCACGAGGCTGTCCTACATCTGCACTGACTCTTACTACGCAGCTGCTGAAGGGCGACCATCCCTTTTCCCCCAGCCCCCCTTCCCCAGCCCAACTAAGTATTTTCAGAGCTTCCTGCTGCTGGCTGATAAAACACACAGGAGTCAAGAGTTTTTTTAGACTTTTTTTTTTTTTTGGTTTGTTTTTAAAGAAACTGCATACATCATCAAAGACAAACAATAATTTAAATACCATGCAGTTTCTGTATGTACAAAACCTAGGCCACAGAGATCCAGTTTCATCCGTATTCTCTATTTACACTGTCTTCCTCATACAGCCGTCATCTGTTAAGTTAGAACCCGGGAGAGGAGGGGATCGACGGTCGTCACACTCACTCCTATACAAAGACACACTATGTACAGACACCCGGGCAGCCACGGGAAAATGCAACCGGTCTGGGGGTTAACAGACAAATGGGGAGAAAAAGTCATTTAGGGTGACCTTTGCCCACTGGCTATGCACAGGGAGAGCCTGAAATCCCATTCATCAAAGGAACACACCACGATTTTCATTCGGCAAATATACACACATGTTCGTAAGCGGGAGAAAAATAAACTCGGAGCTTTTCATCACATTTACCATCACATTGTTTGGTTTCTCTAATCTGACATAAAGGCTAAAGTTTTAAAAGTTTCACAGGGCTTCGAGGGCCTTCAGAGATGGATACATCAGCAATTTTGAAAAAGTAGGCCGCTGGCGGTCTCTTCTGTCATTGATGGGGACAGGGAACAGGGTTGGGGTAGTGTCTAATTTTGAGAAGGAAACATTTGATTTGAGAGATTTCACATTTTTCCTCTCACTATAATGCAAAGCACAAAATGCTCAACTGAGAATTTATGCACACAAAGTAAACTGACTTGAAAACTGCAGCTTTTTCAGAAAAGGGATGCATTTTAAGACATCTAGCTCACTTTTTTTTTTCTTAATTAATGTCAAATTATCATCTTGGAAAGTAACACAAATTGCTTCGGCTGTCATAACAATGTGGCAAAAAAAAAAAAATGTGGCTAGATCTCTAGAAAGACCTCAAAGTTTTAAGAAAAGGAGAAAGACAAGAGAGGTCCCCTCCTACAGGCCACTGAGGTTGCTGAGCCTGTGTAAAGCCACTGAAAACGGGCTTGAAGGAGCCCATCCCGAAGGTGGGAGACCTTCAGTGGCATGGGAGGCGCACCCCTCACTCTGAGCGAGTGACTTCTGGAAAAGGGTGCCCTGCAGGAAGAGCAGCGGAAATGGTGTTCGATTTCTTCCATGCACAGAGTGGACTGCAACACTGGCACGCCCTGGGCGGAAACCCTGGGCTGCTGGCTGGCTGCAGGGAGATCCATCTGGGCCTTATATTCCCAGGGAATCTGAAGGGCCCGTGAACCAAGGCCAGCAGAGAAGCCCTGGGTCTTCGTAGGAGGAGTCCAGTCAACGGAATGAGTTGCCTTTGGACTCGCTCCTGGCCAGGGCAAGGCGCAACCGTCATGCCAGGCCACCGCGTGCGCCTGAAGCCCACCCAGCTGCAGTTAGAGGAAGCTCAGACTCCAAGCCTGGCCGGCCAGGCACCTCCGCCTGGAACACGTGCCTGCCCGCCTGCTGTAGAGAAGTCAACGAAAGAGCCTTGCATCTTTCGTCATACCATTTGCACATTCAAACGTCAGTAAGCCTTTTGGGAAGACTGTGTTTACAGCCACACTAAAATCCCGACCACATTTTCCCTGAACAATTCCTCTCCCCACGGCAGCAACTATTCAGATTCAACAAAGAAAAACAAGATCTAGTGATGGCGTCCTCTTCGGGCTGGGCAGAGGCGTGCTGGCTCCAGGTGCTGGCTCCAGGTGGCGAGAGGAAAGCTGGGGCTGCAGGCATTGCCTAAAGGGCTCCCCCTGCTCCCCCCGGAGCTGTCTGGCTCCTAGGTTGGTGCTGGCCACGGCAGCTGTTCATGCCTGCGGGAAATCCCATGGCCTCGCTGATGGGCGTGCATCCTGAGAGTAGCTTGCTCCCACATGGCTTGTGGTGGGGATGAGTTAACGCTTTCTGGGGAGGCTGGCATTTTTCTAAATCCTGGGCATGTGTGGTGTAGAGAGAGCCGTCCCCTAGAAAGGTCAGGGTGGCTATGGAGCCACTGCAGAAGGCTCAGCAGGGCTCTGTGACCGAGGGCCTGCCAGCTCTGTTGGGAAGGAAACAAAAGCCACTATGGGCCTCGTGAGGGTGCTTGTTAGGGTTTAGGAGGGTCTTCCCCTCACTGCACACCCTGGCCTCGGGGCCCTGTCAACAGTGTGTAGGACAGCTGGAGACACATCTCCAGTCACCCTCACTGGCATCACGAAGGAGAGGAGGGGTTCCCTCTGGATGAACTGGAGCGGAAAGGCACCCCACGGGCAGGCATGGCTGGTGGTGGCCCAATTCTGGCACATGCTGAACTCTGGGGCTCCTCCACAGAAACGCTTCGGTGCAAAGAAAGGAGAAAAGAAGGCCATCGATGGTTCTGGAGTACCAGGCCCTCAGTGGCTGGGAGGCTAGACTCAGGAATGGTTTCTGGCCTGCATGCATTGGTCCTATACTCAGAAGCCATCAACTCCCAAGCCACACACTCACTGGCCCTGGGGCGCACAGAAAATGTGAAGAAAATCAGTAAGCAGTTTCTGACCTCCGCCTTTATGCCCTCAACAGGGTCCTCCCGCTCAGACTTAAAAACATCACGGGAGTATCTGAGCAATGGCCGTTTGTGTGCACAGATCACCCATGACATGCGGTTCTCTGGACACAGATGGGTCGATGAGTTTGAACTGAGCGGATGACAACCTTCCCCTTCTAAACCAGAGCTTCCTGGAAGGCAGCTCAGCTCAGGCTGGGGGGCAGGATGGGCGCTCAGTGCCAGCCCCCTCCGCCTACAGCACACACGCTCTGAGGACCAACAGGCACCCAGATCTCCCACCCCCCCCAGAAAAGAGTCCTTCCCTTTGCCCATCGTGTGGGTGGGAGCAGAAGGGAGGGAAGGCCAGAAGCAGCTGGGAAGGGCCCCCAAAGCAGATGCCACATCTGGAGTCAGGACATTGGGCCAGTCTAGAAGACCAACCAGATCATAAGCTTCCTTTGCATAGTGCCCCCCAGGCTAACCCCACCCTCTCAGCTTTCTTTGGACTCAGGTGATAGACACTTGTAAGGAAGAGGTTTTCGGTGCCTGCTGGGCCTGGCTGGAGAGGACCAGGACCACTCCGCCTGCCGGAAAGTCTTCAGTCAGGGCCCTGCTGCAGGTGCCCGCGGCCCTGCCGGGGTGGGACACATTTCGGTGTCAGAAGTGGGGCCAGCAGCTCTGATCGCCGAGTGGTCACCTTCGCATTTTCGCACATAGAATCCTGATTGTGTTTCCTTATATTTTTCTTCTTCTTCTTTTAAAAAAAAGGCAGTTCAGAAGGTTTACATCGTAATGGGGAAGTGAATAAATACCAGCACTTATGGTTCTTATAAATTTATGTTTTGAAGACAGCATAGCACTCAAGAGGAATTCGACTGTTAAGGTCGGTGAAACCTAGGGAAACAAGTGATTAAATCAAGACTGAGGGGCTGTCAAAGGTGTGGGATTGAACAATACAACCTGCCCATCCTCAGGGTCCCTGTTCCTGACAGCCATAGGGAGCGGGGACCCTCCCAGCAAAGGCACATCCCCACAGTAGCTCCCCCAAATCCGCCTCTGGTTTTGGCATAGTTTCATCCGGAGCTCCTGTGGGTCAAACCAGGTGGCCCTGGTGGCGTCCAGCCTGTGCCATCAACCTGGATTCAGCAGCAAGGTAGAGAACCCAGTCTTATAGCTCTGAATCCAGGCTCTAAATACCCAGTAAGTACCCTGTTTCTCTAAATGTTCACCAAAGGGAAAGTTGTAAGAATGAAGTTGATGGCTCTGTCGCTAACTAGCCATGTGAGCTTCTACAAGTCCCTTAATCGCTCTGAGCCTCCAGTTTCCCCAAATCATTATCACACAGGACTGTGAGGAAAATGGCACGGAATCATAGAAATGAACCCACTTTGGACGTTCCATGTGGATTTGGTATTTTGCCCAGGTTTGGCCTCTGCTGACTGGTTGTAACTTGGCAATAATCTTGTCTCCTTGGCTTAAGTTTTCATAAAAACCCATCCTGGGGGGTTATTGATAGTAAGACACTTTTCAGATCTTTAATTTAAATGAATTTGCAACCAGGCTTTCAGAAGGTGGCTTTTAGCCTGGGCTTTCAGTTTCAGCAACCTGAAGTGCAACTTTCTGTTGACCTTTCTTTTCTCTTCTCTCCCACAGCACCGACCAAACCACTTGTGACCCACAGCAGACAGGACGGTTTTGTTTGGAGGTAAATATTGCAATTTGAGGTGGAAAAAGGAAAAAAAAATACACAAAAACAACCACTTGATACTAACCTTGTTAAGTGTCTACTCAATTCATGAACTTCCATTTCAGTGCTTTTAAATTCATTGAGCTCCTTTCGGATGGCAGCCTGGAATAAAGAGAACCTCGTAAGTATGCACGAGAGGAAGACAGAAAAGAGCTCCCTTTTTATTTCGTTTCTAACAATATTTTTTTTCTTCAACAAAGGCAAACAAGTTTAAAATGGATTCTTTCATTGGGAGGAGAAAAAAAATCACCTGAGCTGTGTGTGTGAACTAAGATTCTCTGAGTCTAAATTGCAAATGATGACAGCATCTGGCCCAGTGTGTCTTTTTCTTCCTCTTTTCAGCGCTGATCCGTGGAGGCATCCACAGTGTGTGCACACGTATCCCCACTCCTGGGGGCCCGCCGAGGACACCTTTAAATGTCAACCTGTCATCTTCCTTAGGTGTACAGGCTAAGCTCAGCACAGGCACAGTGATGCCTCAATGTGGATACTTCTAGAAGGGGTGGTTCAAATTCCCCAACCAAATTAAAGAAACAGAGGACAGCCAGCTCCACCACTATCCCCTTTGCCTTTGTTCTTTTACAACTTTACTGACGCCGTGGCGAGACAGTTCACCACCTGGGATGTGTCTGGAATAACCTCACATACCCTGAGATCCATCCTTACGACACTGCCCACAGATGTGCCTGTGCCGAGGGGGCAGGGCTGGGCAATCGGACAGCAAAGGGAGGTGGTGAGGAAGCAGGGGAGGAGGGGGGACCCGCAGAGAAGAAAGCTGGGGCTGGAGACAGCCTCAGTCCTTCCTTTCGGGGCGGAACCTGCAAGCACGCGCCGTCGTGCTCGGCTCCGTCTGTAGTGGATATCTGCTCTGCTGGGAATACGAAGGCTCCAGGAGTTTGGTGACAGAAAGGTGTTCAGGTAGGATCAGAGTGGCTCTCCCCAAGAAAGGAGGCTCACTGGGGTTTAAGTGCCCGGTTATCTGCTTTGGGGGATTGGGGAGTTACCACTTCCTATTCTCCCGTCCCCAACAGCCATTGAGGGCCTGGATACGTTTTCCGTCTAAGAGCTACGCAGAACTTGATGCAAGTAGAGACGTCTTGTGTGTTCCTTGCACGTCTGCTAATACCCTCATCCTTGCAAGCACACCGCAGTGAGAGTATAAACAAAAGAGAACAAAGGCCCAAGCCCCTTCCTCCCTTTGTATTTAGAAGACAAACTTCCAGGGGGCTGGGTTTGTCTTCCTGCCTTGTGCATGGTGGTGCCAGTTCCTGGGGTCACTCCCCACAAATTCCTGTACAGAAAAGCTGTGAAAGCTATGTTGACAGAGAAGGGCACAGTCTTCCGTGTATCGTGATCTACAGGTTGACCCATCACGGGAGAGCCTGTTTCTGGAAGAAGTCTGTGTGCCTCTGGCCACTTCCGCCCACCCAGGTGCGGCAGTGTCCCTGCATGTGTGCTTCCTGCAATTCCTCGATCCAGGGTGGGTGATGATTCAGCCAGTCTGGGCTGCAGATGACGTCCTGCTGTGTCGTGTGTAAGGAAACCACTGGTTCCTGAAACGGACGGGGTGAAGGCAGGACTCTTTAGGAGAACGTCCTGGTGTACCCCGTGGTTCCTGCTGTCATGCACACGTTGGACATGATCGTTACTCTAGACTGGACTTTTAAAAAGGCCCTTTGCCCTCCCGTTCCTCCTGGTGACTGGGCTGGGATCAGGAAGGACCACTGAACAGAGGTCCATTTCCATACATGGTCTAAGGGATAAGAACAATTTCTCATTTGCATCATTGCATTTCTTAAACAAACTCAACTTCAGATTATTATTATTATTCTGCTTTCTAAATTGATGAGGGCCACTACGCTGAGATAGGCTTTGTGACATCTCTGTGACTGGTACCTATGTCTCTCCTTAGGTTACAAGACAGGCAAACAGAGCTACTTTGTCTTCTTTGGATTTTGTGAATCCCTGTTGGGGGCCAACGACAGTGTCCCCTACACAGCAGGTCTGTGCTAAGCTTGGAGCCTCGTGCCCTCGGACTGCGTGCGCCTGTTCCAGTGCTATTCTGTGCCTCTGGGCACGGCCTCTGCGGCTGCCCATCCTCCTTCTGTAAAGCGGCGCAGTATTATCCGTCTCGTGCCTTCTTGGCTTCAGCGGCCTCTCTGCAGATTTCCGGAGCCCATGGGCCAAGGAGCCGGAGCAGCAGCACTGCCAGCAGCGGGCTCGTAGCTGTCCGTCACGGGGACTGCGGCCGAGGACTTGCCTTTGTGGGAAAGCCCACGCGAGGCCTGGCCTCCCACCTCCGGGCACTCCCCGCCCCTCTCCGTGTCCCCCACTTACTTTGTCGGCAGCGGTGAGGCGGGTCCACGGCTTGTCGGCCCTGCGGTCATAGTCCTGAGCGTCGGCCACCTCCACGTAGTCACTGAAGCGGATGAGGATCTTCCTTTCCCGAAGTTCTTCCACCGTGGGCCTCTGGCTGAGCTGCAGGGAGGGAGAGAGACGGACCCAGTCAACAGAGGGGTTTCAGTCACCCGGCTCTGTCGGTGAATTTGTAGGTGTGGACAATGAGGCCCAGAGAGGCGACTGACACATCACACAGCGTGGGAGCGGCAGGGCCCAGGCAGGGACCAAGGGCTCCTGACTCCTGAGACTGGGACCTTTCTCGAGCTCTAAGAGACAGCTTCGTCATCCCTTCCGCTCCCTCCAGGCCTGTGCGGACAGCCAGCCCAGGTCTCTCTCTATCGCATCGCTGTGCCTGTCTTACAGAGGCTTGTCTTTCTGTGTGGCTCTAGGTGCTCGCTGTGCGTTTTTCCGTGTCTGTCCTACTCCCTCCAAGTGACGGGAACCTTATACAATGATTTTGTCTTACTTTGTCTGCATCTGTGCGTCACATTTTGTGCTCTCTGCAAGACGGGCTTGTCATACATTTTGTGCGTGTGTTTCAGACATAGAAAAGTGCGTGTGCAAACAGCACGCACGCTCTAGGGTGTGCAGGGAGGGGGATATGTTGATTTATGAGGTCAGGGCAGATGCTGCGCTGGCCTCCTCAAGAAGTTCGAGGGAAAGGTCAGTCAACAAACATGAGCTGAGTAAGTACAGGGCAAGGCCACGTGTCTGTCAAGGAAGACTCGGACTCAGCCCTTTGGGTGGCTCTGCCGTCAAGGACTGCAGGAACGAGGAGTGAATCAGGCGGAAGGAGGGTTCATATTTATGTTTCCATCTCCTGAAATCACCCAGGAGCACCCTGCCTCTGTGTGTTAATGACAGAAGGCTGGCATTTCTATTATCTCTCCCTGTCACCAGGTTTATTTTTGCTGGAGCAACAACGTTGCTCTCTTTAGGACGCTGTCAATTCACGTTCAACCAATGTTATTTAAAAGCAATTTTCCCTCCAAGCCCTAGATTAGGTTTAATTCTATTAATAGAAGGTGTAGTCAGACACAGGCCTATAAAACAGACACACACAAGTGAGTCCAATCCACCCTGGCTGTTTGCCTCTGTATCATGCAGCTGCCAGACACCGTTGGCTGGTGCTAGAATGTCTCAGCTTGCTATCATCCTGGCAGAGCATAATTAGATGATTGTTGGCTGGTATCAGACTGGCTGTGGGTACTGTTAGGCCCTGGACAGGACCAAGGCAGGCCTGCAGCTCCCTCTCAATCAAGGGTGAGAAGACCTGGGGTTCAGAGGCTTAGTGGGCCGCAGTACCAGTCCACTTGCCTAGACTGCATGCAGCTCCCCCTTTAAATGGTTCCAGTCTGTCCTGGGGCAGCCTTGGTTTTCCTAGGGCAGAACATTCTAGCACTAGTGCAGTCCTGTTGCAGGAAACCACAGGTTTCCCAGGCTGTATGGTTGGGGTTGCTGTAAACAAAAATGGTGGTCATCCTGACTCCAAAGCGTGTTCTCCAAAATGTGAGTGCAGGGAGATTTTGTACTATAATTAAAATACATAAAATCATTTAATGTTACTATATTTATGCCAAATAAACAGACTCCCACATTCCTCCTCTCCAGTTTGTGTTCCTCAGGACTAGCAGGGTTTACCCCTGGGTGCTGAACAAAAAGTATTACTTTCTAAGTGTGCGATGATGTCAGAAAGGTTGCTAAGCCCTGGCTTTCAAACTTCTTTTCCTGGAAATCATGAACTGGATTTTACTAATAGCCTGTTTATGGCAGAGTCTGGAGTGGACAGAAAACTGAATGTAAGCTCTGCAGGTCAGGGACTGTTTTTCATGCCTGAACCCCAGTGGGGCTGTAGACACCAAGTCTTCAAATCAAGGAGGCACTGTGCCCCAGTGCTCAGAAGGAATGAGTGAGGACAGGACCAGCTGCTGCCTCTGGGGTCTCAGGTGTTATGGGGACCCTGACAAACGGCCACCAGGACCCTCCTCCGTGAGCCAGGGCTTGTCCCCCTGACCTCACTGGGCTCAGAAGATGTGCCTTTGGCACAGGGCTGGCTGTAACCCTTAAGGCACCTGGAACCTGAGGTCCTTCCTTGGATGCTACAAAACTAATCTTTGCAGCCAAGGTCAGGTTCTTGGAACGATGGGCTGGAAGATGGGGCAGTAGCATTTGCATTGGTCTATGGCAGCAATATAATATGCAACCAAATATTTAAGAAAAAGAGTAAATTCATTGAGACCCAAATTCTATTAATACAACCGGAACCCAAGTGCATTTCTTTCCTTCCTTCCTCCCATCCGTGTATCCATCCATCCATCCAACCATTTAACTTGCTAGCATTTTTTTATTAATAGCAGGGGGAGGCAGACATGTTTTTAAAAGACAAAGCTATAACTTTCAGATTAGTCTCAATTTGGCTGAAGAAAAGGCCTGGTCTGTTGCTATCAGCCCCAGCTACTATGTTTTACTTTTTATTTTTCTCACTAGTGCATTAAAATGAAATAGAACTTCTTTAAGGAAATCTTTGGGCTGAGGATAAGTAACTGAAAAGCAGTCCCGGTCCCTGGCATCTGGTCTTGGTGCGATAAAGACTCCGGAGGAGAAGAACTTGCCCAGGGCCAGAAAGTGATGTGGATCTCCTACCTGCCGGCACCGCGGCATCTCTGCCAACAAACAGATGTTCTTCCAGTCCCTCCCTTAGAAGCAGTTATCCCTTTGCTCAAGCTCACTATTTCTAATTCCCCAAGCCAGTCCCCAGAGGAAGGCAAGTGCTAAAGTTCCAAGGCCATTTCCCTGGGAGAAGGAAAGAGAGTGGCCAAGGAAAAGAGGCAATTATCTTATTTTGGGGACCTGAAAAACTAGGGGTAACTCTCTCTAGTGTTACCCGCCCTAGGGAGAATGGTGTGGGAAAAAACCCTCTTCCCTTGCCTACTGCCAAATTTTGCAATCAGTCAAGGTTTTCTCTGTAAAATCATATAAACTTTTTAAAGAGATAAGAATTAAATAAATGTCTAAGTATTTTTCTGTGACTATCTTTTAGCAAGCAACCATAAAGTTTGCGACAATTTTGGGGTTCCTGCAACCAACTCTAAAGAACTTGATGAAAATCTGATTTAAACATTTTTCTGAATGTCTAGACCCCTATCTATCAGAAATGAGGGGTTATTACTAGTGTCTTTTTCTTTTTTTCTTTTTTCATTTAAAAAAATTCTTTTTTAGAGACAAGAGTCTCGCTATGTTACCCAGGCTGGAGTGCAGTGGTTATCATCATAGCTCACTGCAACCTCAAACTCCTGGGCTCAAGAGATCCTCCTGCCTCACTGTCCCGAGTACCTGGGACTACAGCAGTGTCTTTTTCATATCCAATCACTTCAAGGACACAATTAGAACAAGCAAATGCACCTCCCCCACCCTTCTCACTACCCAGTCTCGGGAAGAAATGCACCCTCCATCCAAAGACTAGGTGGGCTCAAGGATGTCAAGGCTCAGATATGCCTGGGATGAGAGCAACTGGCTGGTGAGGTCACTCAGCTCTCCTGGTCCCCACCAGGGTGATGCCAGCCAGTCACCTGACTGTTCAGGTACTTGTTTATCTTACTCCTTTTAATTGGGTTGGCATTTGGCTTGTCACCAGGTATTTGGGATGCTCTTAGGGAGAGAAAGTGTTGAGAAATACAAATCATCACCTTAATAATTGGTATGATATTTCAGGATCTCTGAATTTCTTCCTTTGTGTAATATTTCTAGGGAGAAAAATCCATTAATAAGCCTTTTTAAAATTAATTTTAATGGGTCTCTTAACTGTCTCTACGATTTGAGTATCTTTCTCTCAAGATGGTCACTGTAGGAGGCTGATTAAAAACACTTTGACTTAGTCAGACAGGAGATAGTATTTTATCTTGTGTGTCATCAATTAATTAAACTTTTCAACGTCATTCAAGAATAGCCTCAATTATAAGTTTATTATTAAAGAGACCACTCACGTAGAATGAGATGCATTTGCGTCTACGTTGCATTGCCGAACCATCCATTTTTTGGGGTTAAAAATATATAAAAATTCTAGCTTTATGACTTTTATCAATGTGCTTTTCAAACATATTCATTAAATATGTTTTGGTTTTTTCCTAATTCAGTAATTCCAATTGGATTTAGCATAATAAAGTCAAAGAGTTCTTAATTACTAGGGAAAGAACAGTATCAAGGAAGCCAGGAAAATCCATGCTTTCCTAGGGGCACAGCAAATAGCTGTGTTATATATGAACTAACAATTTTGATAATGAATTTCTGATTGCTTAATAGTTGTAGTGAATTTTTTTAAAACAAAATATTTAGTCTAATTGAAAATATAATTCAATGGCCATCAAGTTGTTTGGGGGTAGGTGGGTGTCAAAAAATCAAGCAACAACTGAATGTCACCAGCCAAAGGGACTGAGAGTCATGAAGATGGACTGACCACCGTTCCCTGGAGAGGTTTTGTGTAGTAAGAGAGCTGTGCCTTCTGACACCCAAGGTGTGGCACCCCTAGGCCAGGCAGCTGTGAGGCCACCGAGGCCAGAAGAGAGCAAAGGAGTGGCAGGGAGCCCACTCCTCCTGCCCAGCTCTTGCGTGGAGAACCATCTCACCTTTCGGGTTAGCCTCCTCTTGATCTCTCTTTTCTCCTCTTGCTCCTCTTGTTCATTCCGAGCTGAAAGACATATTTAAGATGCTTTTGATTCCAGCCAACAATGTTGTGCCCAGGTGCACCCTCTGAACTTGGCAAGCTCCAGGCCAAGCACCTCAGTTTGGAAAGGAGAAGAGGGAACTCCTGTCCCCTTCCCCAGCCACCTTCTGTACGTGGGGATGCTTTCCAAACTCCCTGCAGTGTTTCAAATTACTGGTGAGCAGGCTGACCTTTTCATCTTATTTTCTTTATGTCACATGGGGTTTCGAGTTCCCAGGCAGAGATGCTGGGATGAGAAATGTTGCCACAAGGCAAGATGGTGGGTGTTAAGCGGGGGTCCAAGTTTTCTCTGGACAAGACTTGGGGTTCACTCATTGCCCCTTGAGCCTCCCAGACACCAAAAAGAGTTCATTGTGATACGACCCTCGTGTCTGGTGTGCTGTGGGGTAGAACATAAGACCGGCCTACACCCGCTGCAGGAACCAAAGGAGGCAGGGCCAACGCCAACCCCAAGGCTGGCCACACTGAGGGGAATTGCAAAACGCTCACCTTTCACAAGCCCTGATTCCATGAATTCTTTGAATCTTCCAAGAAGTCCACAGAACATGAGTGAGGCCAGAGTGTGGGGTACAATTGCCTGCATTTAGTCTTTTAAGGAGTGTCTCAGGAGAGTAGACTTCAGAGCCTAAATGTTCTTGGCTTAGTATATGGGTGACTTACTCATCAGATTGTTAAAGAGCCGTAGGTGAGAGGGTCTGGGGAAGGGAACAGAGGTGTGAAGGGCAGAGAATTTGGGCTTATCTCTCCTTTTAAGCTAACTGAATGACTTTGGGTAGACCATTTCCTTTCCGGGCCTTGGAAGGATTCCTAGATATCTGTGGAAACGTAGACACCAGCACAGTATTGTGGGACTTGAAAAAAAGTCATGAAAGTCAAGTAGCGTCAAAGAAGGCCTGTGATTTTCATCTGTTGAATTTTTTTTTCTTTTTTGAGACAAAGTCTCACTGTGTTGCCTGGGCTAGAGTGCCGTGGTGTCATCTTAGCTCAAAGCAACCTCAAACTCCTGGGGTCAAGCGATCCTGCTGCCTCAGCCTCCCGAGTAGCTGGGACTACAGGCATGCGCCACCATGCCCGGTTAATTTTTTCTATATATATTTTTAGTTGTCCGATTAATTTCTTTGTATTTTTAGTAGAGACGGGGTCTCGCTCTTGCTCAGGCTGGTTTCGAACTCCTGAGCTCAAACAATCCGCCCGCCTCGGCCTCCCAGAGAGCTAGGATTACAGGCGTGAGCCACCACGCCCAGCCTCATCTGTTGAATTTTAAATGGCATTAGTAAAAGGAAACTGCACATTGATTTTGGCACAGGGTTCATTAAGATTGCCCAGGGGACTTATTCTCTCCTTTTAAAATCACACTTGTTAAATTACATTTCGATAACTTATTTGTTGTATTGATGTACACCTGCAATTCAGTCGTGGCACCCGATTGTCTCAGTATGGGACAGGTCTTTAAAAGAACGAAACACTTGTGCATGGCAATGGGGTGGGGACTGTCTGACAAACTGTCACACCCTCTCCTCCTTGCCAGCCCTGAGGGCAGCAACCACAGCCACAGCCAACCCAGGCTTAAGGTGACAGCACCTCTCCCTGGCACAAATGGTGGGAGTTTAGAGCAGACCTAAGGCCCTTGAGAGACAGTCCCAGTGGCATGATGTGGCCCCCCCGACTGGCTGTGGGGATCAAGATCTAGTATGGAGGCAGCACAAAAGATGCCCACGTCCTGCGGCAGGACGGCGTCACCTGCTCTGCCCCCAGTGCCTGAACCCTCCACTGTGAGAGAGCCTTCCTCTGGATTTAGAAATCTTAGCTCCTTCCCAGAGTTTTCTTTAAAAATGCAAATTTCTCTTGGATAAAATTCCATTGAACTAGTCAGCCATTAATAGTTCAGTATGAATTAATCTATCTGAGATAAATTGGGAGGCAGATGGCAAGACCCGGAAGGGAGATCCCAGACAATGACATCTGTAAAAATGTAAATTTCTCTGGGATAAAACCTATTACCCTAGTCAGCCATTAATATTTAGTATGAATTAATCTATTAGTGAATAAATTGGGAAGCAGACAGCAAGAACTGGAAGAAGGGAGCCCCCCATCAGTGACATTTGCAGGCGGGAGAAAGCAGGGCAGGAAAGGCAGTCTGGATGTTGTATGCCCGGGAGGCAGCTGGTGGGCACTTAGTTAAGACTTACAGAAGCATAGAATATTAGGGCCACGAGAAGCCTTAGAGACCTCCTAGTCTACCACTCTGGGTTTATAAATGAGGATATGAAAGCCCAGGGGAGCTAAGTGACTGGTCACACCCTACAGCTGCCTTTTCCTGCTGTCACATTTTGCTTGGGGCCGGGGCTCCTTCTCGTGACTGCTGACTGGCCTCAGACTCCTGACCTGACCCCTTCTGAACCACGAAGGTAGGCATTCTGGGACACAGCCGGCAAGCAGGAAGCATGGAGCTTTCATCTCCTATGTGCATTTCTTAGGTTTTTCTGAGGGGCGACCACAAGCTACTAGCTATGGCATCCATACCTTTAGTTCCAAGCTAGTTACAAACCCAGTGTCATGAATTCTCAAGCAGGGGGTACCAAGACAACCCCATAAGGCAACTGCAAAGAGAGGACAGGAAAGGCCCCCACGATGTCATCAGTCCAGCTGCCACCATCAGAGTGTGTTCATTGTGTGCTCAGATGTGCACAGGGCCAGGCAGGGCGGGGCTGGAAGCCAAACCCGGACTCCCAAAGCTCCACTGCTGAGCCGTGACCCCCAGACTGAGTGGTTCCTCAAATGATTTAAAGCCCAGATGGAGGTGGGGGGTGAAGGGGGTTAAACCCACAGGTAATGGAAACGGGGCACACCGTATGGGGGAAGGACACACTTGTAGCTCTGGTGTGGGCTAAGCAAACGCATTTCATGTAACCAAAATGTTTGTACCCCCATAATATCCTGAATTAAAGGAAAAAAATAAATAAAGTCCAGACAATAGGTTTTAGAACAAATTATTTGAAGATGAAATATCACTATATATTTCTTGTTTAACAATCAAAATAGATTAAATTAAAAAAAGGCAAAAAGAAAACATTTAAGAGAACAGTTCCAGAATGCAGGGAAAAATAAGTACCTATGGGAATAACAAGTTCAGTTCTGAAAAGTTTTCGAACTGTGAAATGATCGACCTGTTTGAATTCAGTCAAGCAGTTCTTTAGTTTGCAACTATTTGACCAGGACAAGAAGGAAGAGGGTATGGAATAAAAGAAAATCATAGAAACAAACTTTTTTCCTTTTTGAGACAGAGTCTTGCTCTGTGGCCCAGGCTAAAGTGCAGTGACATCATCGTAGCTCATAGCAACCTCAAACTCCTGGGCTCAAGCGATCCTCCTGCGTCAGCCTCTCCAGAAGGTGGGACTACAGGTGCGTGCCACCACGCCCAGCTAATTTTTCTATTTTTTGTAGAGACGGGGTCTCACTCTTGCTCAGGCTCATCTCAAACGCCTGAGCTCAAGTGATCCTCCTGCCTTGGCCTCCCAGATTGCTAGGATTGCAGGTGTGAACCACCATACTCAGCCTGGAAACAATCTTTTAGAACCCTCTTTTGGTCTCCTGAATCTAAGCCCTCAGGCTGAAATGGCAGTAAAAACCAGGCAGAAGGGACCTGCCCACGATCTCCAGGGAATCTGGACAAACTGGGGACGGGAGCTGGAGGCTTCAGGAAGCCAGAAGTTAGCTGGGGGATTTTAGGCTCCTTTCTAGGAACCTCAGCCCTGCTGAGATATGCACTATTTTCTGAAACCTGAATAATCCTCCATGGGTTTTTAGCTTCTTTGTATTTAGGCCTCAGATCGGAGGCCACAAGTATAGTAGCATCCCAAGAGTAAACTGCCCTCAGAGGACCACTGATGCACGTTAGGTGTTCATGTGGGGTGATGCACGTGGGCTGAGGTGAAGAGAGAAGGAAGCACGTTTACCTGATTTCTGATTTTAGGAATAAAGATTCACCTTTCTGTTTTTCCTTCTCTCCAGCAATGGAAAGTTTACAACGGCTTAGGTATTAAACTGGGGCCGACAAGGAGCCCCGAGATAGGCTAAATGCTTCCCTGACCATGCAAATCCCCTGAAAAAGCTCTCATTTCATTATATGGAATATTAAGCTTGGAAACTTTTAAGGGGACCCCTTGGTTAGAAAAAACACACACACACATTCCTAGAGACCTAGGAGATGCGTGAGGCGCACTTGAGCCTGAGGAGGGCTGATCCTGAAAACACCTTCCACTGGGCTCTGGGGAGGTGGAGGCTGGCGCAGAGGAGGCAGGATGTCGCTCGAAGCAAAGAAGCAGCCGGGCACCCTGCAGGGGTGACAGGCCGCCCAGCGCAGCTCGGATCCAGCACTCACCCTCCGCACACCGCGCAATGCCAACCGAGTCCCAGGACCGCAGCCAGCACGGTCAACGGGTAAAATCATATTAGTTTGCTTTAAGTGGAAACGCCTAGCTACCCACACCACGGTTTTGCATGATTGACTGGGGGTGTGTGTGTACAATATAGCATTTCTAGAACATCTGCTTAGTCTATATTTCTCTTTTCTGGAGAGAAATTAGAAGCACGTGTGTCGGGTAGGGGAGAAAGGGTCACAAATTAAACTAAACATATTATTTGTTGACTATCTTGAAAAAAGAAGTGTTGGTGAGAAGGGCAGCAAGGATGGAGTGGATGTGAGCAGAGTGGAACGATTTTTAAATTATTTAACACCCACCATCAGAATGAAGCATACCGGTGTCCACGAAACACCTGTTTTCTTTTAGTGTTTTGTATTCTTTTTTTCTTTTTTTTTCTCCTAGCGTCAACTGGATTCTCTATACATATTCAAATATCTCCATATCCTGAACTGAACAAGGGGTCATTTATTTCTCCCGTCCACGGCATCAGTGACAGCCAGTTTTTCCTGAACGGGGGCCTCAGGCGGGCTGTGGAAATCCCGGGACACAGACACGAAGCACTTTCACTTGGAAATGCTTTCTTACACTTCCAATTTCATGTTCGAAGGGATGAGGGATTTTATCAACAGCAGCCAGCTGCGATGCAAAGTCACGCTTTCTAGTCCCAGCTTTCAAACGGCCGTTTCCCTTATTTTAGCCATCCATATCGTATTTGCCGTTTTTAAGCCAATTTTGGTTGAAAGGTGACCCTGACCTCAAAATCATTAACTGGTAAGTTCTCTGACTCTAATTTTTCAGCTTCTCTTTGACTTTACAACTCACTAAACGGAAGGTTCTGCTTGCAGTCTGTGAGCTTCTAATGAACAAAGTAGAGTACAATTTGCCTTCTCCACGGGGAGGTCGTCTTTGCTGTTCTAACGCACAAAGATGAAGCCTCCACCATCAGAGAGGCTCCGGTTGTTTCCACACAGGCACAAAGGAGAAAGCTGGTGGCCCACAATTAAATAATAACTAAAGCCGCCACAGAACACCAGCGATTGCCCTGGGCTCAGTCACTTACGTTTCAAAATGTTCCTCTGTTCCAGTTCCTCCGCAGTTGGCCTCTGGCTCAGCCGCCTACGGAAAAAATCCAGGAAAAGTTTTTGGACCATATCATACCCTCCTTGGGTCATTAATCTCATCGGCCCTTGGAGATACATGAGACAGAGTCAGTGGCTGGAGTTCTTGTTCCATCCTGTGCTCTGAAAGACTGACTCCGGCCACCACCGCCTCCGCAGTTCCTCAATTTCAAGCCCAGGAAAGGCACGTGCGTCATGTCATGCCGGGCTCACCCCCCTCCACGCCTTCCTCCCTCCACCGGCCCCTCCCCAGCCGCACTCCGCCGGTGCCCCCAGGCAAGTGGCCTGCAACTTAGACGTCACTCTTCTCTTCACAGAAGTCCCTTTCTTTCCTTGTGGCCTCCCAACTTGGGGACCGTGGCCTCTCGCCTTTCTCTCCCTCCCTCGAGGCTAAAGCTTGCTTCTTGTCACTTCTGTGCAGACCCAGTGAGAACATAAAGAGGCCCATGGCCCCAGGGAGATGCGAGAGTGCATGTCTGTCGCAAAGAACAATAGCTGCTCTTCTTCTGGCCCCCACCCCTCACCACCACAGCCTTGTGAGACAAGGAATGACAACTACACAGGCACAGCAACCACACTGCTGTTGCCGGGTGTGTCATTTAGCCTCAGCAGGTGAAACATCACAGCCAGGGTGTGAGCCTGCGATGGTGCAATGTGGGAGGTGGAGTCAGACAATGGGCGGCACCTAGTGACCCAAGGAGCCGGAGGACGAGGTGGCATCCCAGGAGAGAAGACCGTACAAAGCTCCAGGGGGGATCCACACGAGCCCGGCGGGCCTGAGCATGGCCAGAGACGTGTACTTTTGATGTTCTTGGTAATTACTTAACAACCTTGCAATTCACCTACTGTGATGAGTCGTGTGGGCCTGGGACCTGAGGGTAGACAGAGAGAGCCCCCCAGCTGTGCAAGCAGCAGTCCCTTCCTGAGTATCACAAACTGGTGTCTATGGTTGGCAAGGTATTTACATCATGGGATCTGAAGAGAGATCCTAGAGTGAAAACAAAGTCTATCATGTGTCCAAAGATAACTGCAGTCAGCCCTCTGTATCCGTGAGCTCCGTGTTCATGGGTTCAATCCACTGTGGATGGAAAATATTTGTTAAAAACCCAATACAACAATAAAAATGATACAAATTCAAAAATAGAGTCTAACAGCTATTTCCATAGCATTTACATTGTATTAGGTGTCATAAGCAATCTAGAGATGATTTAAAGTATTCAGGAGGATGTGTGTAGGTTATAAGAAAATACTACCCCATTTTATATCAGGGACTTGTGCATCCTTGGGTTTTGGTATCCCAGAGGGTCCTGGAACCAATCTCCCAGGATACTGAGGGACTGTTTTAAAATCCAATGATTGTTGCCATTTGTATTTCTCTTTATTGCCCTGGGCCAGAAAACAATTGCTTCTGTGACACTCCAGTGTTAAAACACTCCCACACGTCCTGTACACGTAGGGAATAGGCTTCCATGCCAGAGAAAGGAGTTTTGGCCAGATACCTGGCTGTAAAATCTATAGCACCCTGGCACTGTTGGAAAATTGTATTCCAAAGTGTTTCTAAGTTTATGTTAATAGGAACATTTTCACATTTATGATTCCTTTTGCCTTCAAAACATCCCTGTGGTATAAAGTGAAATATATTTGGTCTTTGTTGTCAGTTCCTACCACAGAACACCTAAAATCCTTGCAATTTCTTGAGTGACAGGAGTGTCTTTTGTTATCCAGAATGAGTCCCTTTGGCTCACACCTGAGTTTATGCTAACGAGGGAATTTAGGACAGGCTGGTCGCCTGAAAGTCCAAGTGGTTAGAGGGCTGTGGATTTCACCTGGGAAGGTGGTGCGTGGGAGGCTAGAGGGGAAGCTCTATGAAAACTCTTGAACCACAAGAGTTGAGGCGCTTCAGGTTGCCGAACACGGTGGGCGCTGGGAGGGGGGAACCCAGAGGGCATGGAAGCTCCTTCCCCACCCCATACCGTGCTCTGTCCATCTCTCCATCTGTATCCTTTGTAATATCCTTATAATACACTGGTAAACACCGTTTCCCTGAGTTCTGTGAGCTGCTCTAGCAAATTAATCAAACCCAAGGAGAGGGTTGTGGAAACCCCAGTTTATAGCCGGTTGGTCAGAAGCACAGGTGACAACCTATTACTTAGGACTGGCGCCTGGGGCCGGGGGAGGGCAGTCTTGGGGGACTGAGCCCTTAAGTATGAGACCTGACACTATCCGGGCAGAAAGTGTCAGGATTGACTTATTATAGGACAGACACCCAGTTCACGTCTGCTGGAGAGCTGCTTGGTGTGTGGGAAAAGCACCCCCCGATCTGGTCACAGAGGCATGCCATGTTGAGTGTGAGAGTAGAGAGAAAACAGTCTGTTCCCTCCTGTACGGTCCCACGAAGGTGTTCTCTATCCGCGCTGACACGCGCCAGCTGTGTGTTTGGAAATCCGCACTATCAGAGGGTCTAAATTTGGACGCAGTAGTCTTTAAGTCCTTTCTAAAATACCATTTTCACCCCACAGGAGGAGAGTGATGATTATACAACTGAGCAAGTTGGTGTCGTGGATCTGGAATGTGGCTCACTGACTCCGCTTTGAATGATCTTCTTAGCAGCTTTTTCTCAGCTGTCAGTTTATGTTCCCTAAGAATACTTGTTTCGTGTCTAAGGGATGCACAGCCTCCTTTATGGGATGCTTGCAATACCCAGGCTTTACAGCAAGCTAGAGTCTGGGGGGGGGTAGTATGTTTTGGAGAAACTCTATAAATTTGAGTGGAGCTTGCATCTTGGAGGCCAGGACAATGCTTTGGAGTCTCCTGCCAAGTGTCTGCAGAACGTTCACTCACTGCCTTTGGCTAGGCAGCCCATGGATTCTATCACCAGACATGCTTGCCTGGCTCTCTGCTGGCCTTTTTGGTTTTCTTATGGGTCATATTTGGAGGGGGCAAAACCATGAGTGACTGAACTCTAACCAGAGAAAATTCTCTTATTAACTAGGCTGTCTTATAGTCAAACCACACATGATCTCAAAATGAGGTCCTCTGTGTTTCATTTCTCTCAAAAGGGTCTGAGAACATCAACACTAACCATAGCTATAAAATGTAGCTAAGCCCACCAGAAGGGTGTTATAACTGGTTGTTTTGACTTTGGAAATGATAATTGGTAGGAAAATGGCATTGCAATGACAAAGCACCAAATAGTGCAGGAGTTAGGAGATTTGGGTTCTAGTCCCAGCTCTGTTCTGAACCTACTTGCCTTGATCAATGTATTGGATCCTGCTAGGACTATGTTCTTTTCTCTGCAAATAAATTGTTATTTATTAAATAACAATTTAATAAGCTAATGCTGATTTAATGCCTACGATGTTCGGGCACAGTTCTAAGCACCCTATGTGTCTTAATTCATTTCATCTTTATCTCAAGATCCTTAATCACACAGCTGCAAAGTCCCTTTTGCCACGTGAGGTCACATATTCATATTAATAGACTGGGTCAGGATGTGGACACCTTTCCGGGAGGTCTATATTTTGTCTTCCACAACCACAATACTAGTCAGAAGTTGCAAACTGATGCTTGTGCACTGGATTTGACTCTGCCAGTTCTCCTCAGCTCAGAGGTCACACAGTTTTTGAGCCTGGACACCTTCAGACAGAGTGTGTGTGTGGTTTAGCCAGCCTAGTCCCCAGCGCTTCTCAGCTAACACACAGGAGAACACTCTCATCTGTCTTGCTTTCCTCTTTCCCAATCATTCCTGGGCCCCAAGAGCTTCTGAGCTTGAGAGCCCTGGATGAGATCATTAAGTTATAACAATCGTAACTATGGCGAGGCACTTGGTACACGGATCCTGGGATCTAATCAAATCAGGAGGTCAGGAAGGGCTTCCTGGAAGAAGTGACACTGTGCCCAGAGCTGAGGGATGGAAGAAGACGGCGGCTCCCTCTGGGCAGAGACGGCAAGCAGAGCAGGATGGTGAGAAGAAAGACAGGGGCCAAACCCTATGGGTCTTAGGCTGCCTTCAGGACTTGGATCTTTTTTTGCTAAGAGTATTAGGAAGCCACTGAAGAAGAGTTTAAGTTTCAGGATCAGGGAGAAGAGAAGCATATGAACATGATCAGACTTATAAGAGCACAAGATCACACTAGTTGTTGTAAGGAGAATGGGTTGGGGGAGGCGAGAGGCAATCTGAGGGTGAGGCTTTGGGAGGCTTGCACCCCTGGAGACGGCGGTGGCTTGGACAAGGCTGCGGGTGTAGATGCGCAAGCTCTGAGGATGTCAAGCAGACAGACCACGGAGATAGCGTATGTGGGTGGAGAGGAAGAAGGAGGTGCACAGGATATAGATCTCTTAGGTTTCCCACTTATGCAACTGGATGGATGGGAACGCCATTCACTGAGGCAGGGACACTGCAAGAGAAGCAGGGTATTTTGGGGGAGTATAAGGGAAGAGTGGAAAGAAACCATGAGTTTCTGTTGAGTCAGAATGCTTCTGAGACATCAAAATGAGGTTGTCAAATAGGCAGATGGATATATTTAGCTCAGTGGAGAGGGGAGGTCTAGGCCAGTCATATACATTTGAGACTAGTCTGCAATTTAAATATTTGAAGCCATGAGTATGGAGAGAGTAGAGAGTAGAGTAGAAGGGGAGAAGGCTTAGGATGGAAACTTGCAGAATTCCAATATTTAATACATGGATTAAGGAGGATGAACCTGCCAAGGAGTCAGAGGAGGGTCAGTTCCTGGAGGCAGGATAAAAACTAGAATGTCACATCATGGAAGAAAACGCAGTATTTAAGGCTAAGGGAGATTGGGAGAGGACTGCACTCATACCTGCTAAAGGTCAAACCACAGACTGTCCAACAGGCTTACATAAACAACTGAAGTCAGTATCACAGGCCTTCAGTACCTTTCAGCTGAGAGTACCCTCATTAACTGACCAGTCAGAATGGGTTTGTGATTTAGGATTTCTGCCCAGCCAACAAACTGCCTCTGAAAATAACTTTTTGTG